GTCTCTGTTTTCTTGTTCTCCCAAGCTGCTCCCGAGCTCGTACTAACACGCTGAATGGCATACCTGAGTGTTACTTTGAATAATTAGGAATCTTAGAAGGAAAGGACAGAACTCTGCTTATCGGTGCTCGTGCCTTGGAGGGAAAACCGGGATGGACATTTTTTCCTTCACCATGGGCTATTACTATGTTCTCATCTTAGAGATGACCCAGAAATAATCTTAGTACATCATGCAAAAGCATGATGCCTAAAATGATAATCATTCTGGAGGAGAGAGGACAAATTAATATTCCCAAATATATTGCCAATGCAGTTAAAGCAAACTTGGAAAAAACTAAACAAAAACACATGTAAATTCAATAAAACATATTTTTCTGACTAACAACAATGAGCGAGTCACAAAGAAACTAGTGACAAATTAAAGGAATAAAAAACAAAGTTTGTATTTCCCATATTCTCTGTGACAACAGCATTCAGTGATTTGTCCTAAAATAAAAAAAAGTTCAGACTAAACTTTTTAGAAGAATTTAGGATCTACTCACAATAAAATCTTACCTTTTTGATTTTTCAGAAAAACAGAAGAATTGATCCCAATTTCCTCCTCTCTGTTGGCATTTTGATCCAAATGCTCTCTCTCATCTTCATCACCCACCACTTTAATGGCACAGTGGGGACTGTTTTCAGAGACCATGACATTGATTTTCTCTAACAGATTTATTATCTCATTTGCATCCATCATGCTTCTTGTGCATGTGTGGTATCTTTTTTCAGCAAAGGTGCAGTTAGCTTTCAGGTCTGCCAGTGCACTTTCACATTTTTCACTTGAGTCATGAGTCACAACTGTCATGACAAAAGACAAACATTTTTTCCCAAAAGCTTTTTCTAACCATTGAATCCCTAAGCTGTAATGGTGGTTATGCCGACCATATGGTAACAGTAAGAGAATGGCATGAATTCCCTGGTTTAGTGGGATTTCATCAGTCTTTTGGAAACCAAGCATGTTAATGACAGTGATATGCCGACCACACATATCATACAGCCTGGATGAAAACTTTTTAACATTGGTTTTGTCATCATGATCAAGTAAGATGTTTTTTGGCCCAATCTCAATAGTATTTGTATCACCAGTTAACACAATGGTGAACTTGGGTGATTCTGAAAGAAACCAAACATCAACAGGTCATATTAGTTAAAATGGAATATTCAAAGTTGTTAAACATTCTCTGAAATTAAAAAAATAAACAAATGTTACAATGTTCCTAATTAACATATTATCTCTGCCAGTCTTAATACCTGTTTCAAGCTCCATGAGCTCCTTGAGTATTCACTGGATCACACTGAGAGAGAAGTAAAAGAACATGCTTAAAAATGTGTGTGATAGTATATGCCTAAAATCAAGAAACAAATTTAATGACACATACTAGAGTCAAAAGAATCCAACTCAGTTGGTTTGTTAGTGAGGGAATGAGTTCAGAAGACACTGGTAGGATAACTCTTGGTCTGGACTAAAGAAGACATCCATATCCAGCTTATATAATATTAGTTAATGTTGCAGACCCAAATGCAGACAGAGTTATAAAATGAAAAGAGAGTTTGATTCCAAAAGCTGGTCATTTAATTTGATAAAAAGCAAAAAAAGGTAAAAGAATTCAAAAGTTTAAAAAACTCCCCAAACTAAAAGTACAAAGGAAATGGTCAGTAGACCAACAAGAGGAAGACAGATAAAGAAGAGGCAGCAGTGGAAGGGGCAATTGATTTGAGGGGAAAATCAAGATGATCATAATCCACAAACAAAATAATAAAATAAACTTACCTTTTGTTGTTTGCTTCTTCTCATCTCCTGGATCGTAGATCCAA